TATTAAGGGGTGCCATTAGCACTCCCCATAGAAAAAGACATGATTTCTCATTTTGAAAGGATATTCTTCAACATTTAATGCATTAAATAAACATTATTAATATGTAAATATTAATCTTTTTCAATAATTTTTATAGCCGTTACATGATTACTAAGGTTTAAAATGACGTAAGACGTGACGTGATTGAAATCTCAAACCTTAGGCATCACATTGAGAATGTGGGATTTTTCATAACATAAAGCGATAAATTTATATGTTATATATATATATATATATATATATATATATAGAGAGAGAGAGAGAGAGAGAGAGAGAGAGGGGTGAGTTATTATGCTACCATTTACATTTGTACAACTAATACAACTCAATCTCAATCATTCATTTAATTTGATGAACTTGTGATTGCATACAAGTTTAGATTGTTTCTTAATATAAAGTATTGATCATAATTATTAAACTCTAATCATCTTTCATAAATGTTCAAATCATACTAAATGTGATGAGCTGCATTTGAAACGTACTCTCACTCTCTCTCTCTCTAGGAAGTTCAAGGGAAAATCTCAAAAATTTGAAAAACCAAAGATAACTCCAGTAACCATTCATCTACACAATATGCACATGTGTATACAAGTAATTAAAGTTGTTTTTTTGTTTGTTTTATGCACGTGTGCATAACATGCACACCATACAAATTGCTTACAAATTACTTGTATACACATGTGTATATTGTCCAGATGAACCGTTATCAGGGTGCTCCATAAATTTTCATTTTTTTACGGTTTCCCCTGAACATCCACAAGTGCATAAAACAAAAAAGCAGCTTTAATTAACTTATATTCACATGTGCATACCTTCTAGATGAATGGTTATTAAAATGTTTCTCAATATTTTTTTTAGGTTTTCCTCTGTACCTCCCCCTATATATATATATATATAACATACAAATTTATCGCTTTAAATATGAATTTAAACTGTAGCTTGGTTGAATATAATATTTTGATATATGAAATTATTTTTAGTTGGTGAAATGGATTTTATATTGCATTTAATTATTTAATTAAAAATATGTAATATTTTCTAAATAAAATAAATAGGACTG